ACCCTTTTCTGAACTTCCTGTTCTTTGTGTTCCCATTGAAACATGCTTTTATAGACATCATTGCACTTGCTAAATGACAGTAAGTTAAACTTGTGTGTGTGTGTGAACTCTGTGAAGGGAGGGAATTTAAGTCTTCATTCAGCATGAATGCCTGGACTATAACCAGAACTCAGTAAGTATTTTTCAACAAATGTCTACCTAAAAATGAAAGTTTCTAAAGTAATTAGATGAAAAAAATGCACCTAGGAGAAGATATAAATCTCTTAAGACATAAAATGTGCCATATATTTAGATTCTCTAAACTTCCTTTTTCTACACAGCAAAATATTAATGAAACAAAGAAAACAGGAACAAAATGTTTAGCTAGTGAACACAGTTGAAGGTACTGGATGCATTCACTAAATGTACCATATGAATTAAAAAATGGAATGCTGTAATTCATTCTAAAGAAATAAGTTTATTTTAAATGTCATATCTATTTGAAATGCACAAGTGAAAGAGTCTTAGGAGTAAAGTAGTAAAAGAGGATTCTGAGTAAGACAGCAACAGGAATGATTCTGAGCATTGGCTCAGGAATGAAAATTCAAGACATATCTCATACGTCTGATTAGAAGGTCAAGATTGCTTTGTCCACAGTGAATTGTATGCTTCCAGAAGGACTGTGATAGCAAGTCCCAGTGATGAAGATGGTCAGTTATCAAAAATGCTCGAAATGCCGAGGGTTAAAACTTCGTAAAGCATAGATAAAACCATTAGGTGACTGGAGTCATTCAGAAAGTTGATTCACAAAAGCATGAGCTAAAGGCTGGTTAGTAACAAGATGACCGGCAACTCCTGGAGGAAATGTAAGTTGGGGAGCAGAAGTTGGATCCACAGCCCAGAGACTGGAAGCCAGTATTTCCACAACCAAAAGACCCAATGCCAATATTTCCAAACCCTAGAGATCCAGTGTAAGTTGTCTGGCAGGGACGGCGGAAGATGAAATTCTGTGGATGGGAGCAGGATGTCTGGAAAGATCTGGTCACAGCACAGGGTGTCTGGAAGCTGATGGGCCTAAAGAAGTTCTCCTGACAGCCACCGCAGAGAGTGGAGCCCAGCTGGAAAGTGCTGGGGGAGTAGATAACACTGCTGGGGTAGAAGGACTCACAGGTGGAAACTGGGACCCCCAAGTAACCTCCAAGGGAACGGGAGGAGAAGTTTCCTGTGCTGCAGTTGAAAGACATGTTGTCTGTCGGGAGTTCTGAGTTCAGCTGAGTTGCACAGGGAAGTTTGTGACTGTGAATGTTATACCTTCTACACCAGATACTTAAATACTCTAGCAATGGGTGTAATAACATGTGTTCATTTTAATAAGAACGCTTAATTAGGCTCCAGTCAAAATGAAATGCCTTAACCTTCAAAGACCTTTTTCATGATTACAGACTTTTAAATGAAAGAATTTCATTAGATTTTCAAAGCAGTTGTTCATGAAGCAAAAATGTTATTTCTCATTCATCTAGCTTGGGTAGGTGACTCTGATTGCACCATAATTGTACCTATAAGATTGGGGTTTTATTCATCCTATCCTTCGAGATAGTGTATTGAGTGGGTAACACAGTGAGAACTTCATTGTATTTAAAGCTCTAAAAAGTACTTTGTAATAAGGAGGGAACATTCATTTTGTTCCAAGTTTAGGAATAGAGGGGGAAAAAAAAATCAATATCTGTTTTACATCCCAAATCTTGTTTACTTTATAGAAAAAATAACCCACTTATGATCCTTAATTGGTAAAAATGTTAAATGAGCATCTAACACATTTATGTTCTAGTCTGCTTATAGCATAGGTACCCAAGCTGCTCTTGTATGTGTGAGTTTTTGATTTAAGAATAAGGGCTCCATATTTTCAGTAGCGCTTTGAAGCTTCCATTGTAAAAATGCTTAAGAAATCCTTATTCTGAAGTTGACTTGCTTCTTGAGAGATCACATCAATAAATTTAATTTTCAAAAAAAATCTCCACATAAAGTTAAAGTCATTTTTAGTGGTGTTGACATCATTCAGAACAAAATAATAAGCTCTATACATTAAAAAAATGAACCTTTAGTCCCTTAGTTTTCTCTCATATGGTGGGATTTTTACCAAAGAAAGTAAGTAAAATCAAGAAGTAAGAAAAATGCCTACTACCTGTAAACTTCATAGCAAGATCAAATTAAAAAAATTCACAATTACAAATGACCTTTGTAGATTGAAATGAGGGTAGAGAGTACTAAAATGAATGCTAATATAAAAAAGAGAATGAATCCTTTTGAATTTACCTCTGATGTGGTAAATATATTCACTTTTATGGATATATATAATTATAAATCATATATAGTTTTATTTATATATTTTTCACAGAGAACTAATACAAGTATTTTTTCTAGACTCTCCCATAAAGTTCATCATTGCTAACTGTAAATAGAGCAGCACATGTGTACAGGGAACAGCTTAAAATAAACTATGGTGATGGGCAAATCTCTTAAGACATCTGTCTTCAAAAACTGATATATTATCCAGTGGAAATGAGCTGAGACTCATTCTATGAAGATTTGAGATTACTAACTGGAAGTTTTTAGGAAAGATTCAACTGAGAATCTAAAATTAGTTACTTTAGCGGGTAATTGAGATGTCCATCTTGGGGGCATGTATTAGATATCCATCTGATAAGATATTGTAAATGGGATTCCAATGTGGCAGAGTACTGGAGGTAACTGCTAAACTCCCTTCTAAATTATAGACTTTATGACTTTGAATGTTTCAGTACACAAATTGATCTTCAGTCATATTCCATATATTTGGTAGGTAACATAGCTTGTGCTCTGTTTCTAAAATAAACAATTCTTATTTATCAGGCTTCTTAATTATGAATAGAAAATTGCTTTCTAGTAGATTCCAAACCTTCCTGTTTTGTTCATAATGTCAAAGCATCCATATAAATATTTCATTCAGCTAGATTGAATTTGCTTGTTTCAATATCATCCACTCATATAGGCTATTTCTGTAGAAGAATATTCTATGAGATAAGATATTAAATAATACTGAACATTCTTTTCTCAACAAAATGGAATTTTTTGGCCACAAGTACTTTGTTCAAAGGTAGAAGGGAAATGTTTTTTTTTTCTATGATATGAACAAATCAAATAGCACAGAAGCCACAGGAAGATAAAGCTTCTCAATCTCTCTTCTTCAAGGTGTCAATCTTCATTACCCTACTACACAGAGAAGGAATACAAGTCATAGAATAACAATAAAAAATGACCACTACTTTAGAAATTGTGTGAGACTTGTCAGAAACACCTTAGAACAGTTTAAGTCAGAGTCATGTATGTTGATTTCAGAGGCAGAGGAAGAATCTCCTTAAGATGGCTATATTGGTCAAATACTTCAAGGCAAATACCTTATAAAATTTCTTTAAAACAAAGGCATTTTCCAGATTTTAGGGAGTCTTTTTGATGGAAAACATTGCCCCTGAGTAGAGAGAGAAATACATTGGGCATTTTTGTCACATATTTTGTTCTTATTTTTTGATGTCTCTTTGCCAACAAAGGTCCGTCTGGTCAAGGCTATGGTTTTTCCAGTGGTCATGTATGGATGTGAGAGTTGGACTGTGAAGAAAGCTGAGTGCCGAAAAATTTATGCTTTTTGAACTGTGGTGTTGGAGAAGACTCTTGAGAGTCCCTTGGACTGCAAGAAGATCCAACCAGTCCATCCTAAAGGAGATCAGTCCTGGGTGTTCATTGGAAGGACTGATGCTGAAACTCCAGTAGTTTGGTCACCTCATGCGAAGAGCTGACTCATTGGAAAAGACCCTGATGCTGGGAGGGATTGGGGGCAGGAGAAGGGAATGACAGAGGATGAGATGGCTGGATGGCATCACCGACTCGATGGGCATGAGTTTGAGTAAACTCTGGGAGTTGGTGATGGACAGGGAGGCCTGGCGTGCTGTGATTCATGGGGTCACAAAGAGTTGGACACGACTGAGTGACTGAACTGAACTGAACTGAAAATTATCTTAGATAAATAACCTCTAACTTTCCAAAACAATATAAAGAAATCTATAATATTTAACTCATTCCACAGTAAATACACAGGCTTCCCAGGTGGTGCTAGTGGAAAAGAACCTGCCTGCCAGAATATGAGGTGCCTGACCCAGGGTTTGATCCCTGTGTCAGGAAGATCCCCTGGAGGAGGGCATGACAATCCAATCCAATATTTTTGCCTGGAGAATCCCATGGACAGAAAAGCCTGGTGGATTACAGTCATAGAGTTGCAAAGATTCAGATATGACTGAAGCGTCTTACCACACACACACGCACGCATAAAAGAGTGAATAGCTAAGATGACTCCTGATAGTTTGCATACAGTTTTAAGCAGAAGCATAAGAAATAAGGGGATCTCTCATTTAATATTACATGAAAGCCATTAACATCGAGGTTCAATTAAAAAAATAATCGTCCTACATCTTGTGTGTTACCATTGCCCCTTCTTTATGGCATCACCCATTAGGTAAACCTGCCACTTCCTGGTAACAATCAGTGTATGCTCTTGTTTAAAAAACGACTTTGAGTAGATCAGTTAGCGATTTTGCTCTCCAGATGGCAACAATTTCGAGACAGATTGTGAAAGGGGATTCAATTATTTTTAATTAAGCCAGCTTCCCTCAGCCCCGTCACTGCCTCTAAAGTTTTCTGAGTGATGTGCTTAGCGACCTTGGTAGAAAAGGATGACTAAGAGCTTTGAAGATTTCATACTATTACCTGAATTTCAAGGCACAAACATGATTATACTCTTCAGCTGTGAAACCACAAACACTCCATGTGTATAACTACGCTGATCTTTTGGATTCAATTAAAAAGATGATGGTACCTTGTTTTTATGAGCCACGTGGATGACACAGCCAACGATAAAGATATATAAACGCCCCTGTCCAAGAAGTGACATTCAGACTCAGACCTTCCCATCGAAACTCACATCACCTGCGAAGATGTCCTACAACTGCTGCTCTGGAAACTTCTCCTCCCGCTCCCTCCGGAACCACCTGCGCTATCCAGGCGCCTCCTGTGGCTCCTCCTTCCCCAGCAACCTGGTCTACAGGGCTGACCTCTGCCCTCGCAGCCCCTGCCAGCTGGACTCCTCTCTCTACAGCCAGGAGACCTGCTGTGAGCCCATCAGGACCCAGACTGTGTTGTCCAGTCCCTGCCAGACGTCCTGCTACCGCCCGAGGACCTCCACGTTCTTCAGTCCCTGCCAGACGACTTGCTCTGGGTCTCTGGGCTTCGGTTCCAGTAACTTTCAATCTGTTGGTCATGTCTTCCCATCTCTGGGGTTTGGATCCGGTGGTTTCCAATCAGTGGGTCATAGCCCCAACATTTTCTCATCCCTAAGTTGTAGATCCAGCTTTTACCGTCCGACCTTCTCTTCTAGGAGTGGCCGGTGTCTTTCTTTCCAACCGACCTGTGGATCTGGCTTCTACTAATATCATACTTGAGTACAATACCTACTACACCTAGAATTGTAATGCGATACTTACAATACTGAGATCTACATATCTGTTGACCTCTTGTTTTACCTTTAGCTTATAAATTTGACTTCTACTGTTACGTACTATGGATTAGGAATAATTTCAATACCAGTAACTGAAAATGTATTCATTGAAGAAAGGTGCCATAACTACTACCTTGTAGCTATATAGACATGTGATACTGAAGCACATTTATTTCCTGTTTATTTCTCCTGTTATTTCCCCAAATGCATCTATTTCAGATTTTACTAGTAGGGAAAACGTTTAAGTTTAAATAAAGTATGGTATATGACATCCATATATTGGTTTTATCATTTTGCTTGCTTCGTTTCGTCAGTGGGGGAGGGCATGACAGCCCACCCCAGTGTTCTTGCCTGGAGAATCCCATGGACAGAGGAGCCTGGTGGGCTACAGTCCACAGGGTCACAAAGAGGCACAACTGAAGCAACTTAGGACATGTCTTCAAATCTAATTCTAAATATCTGGCTGTATATTTCTGCATCTTGTATTCATACTTTAAATTTTTTCAATTTAAAAAGTAAAATTGTTCAGTGTCCTTTAGGTTTGGAAGAAATTATTACATCTTTCATGTTTACTCCTTCTGTTACATTCTGTTAGTACGGTAAAATCTGAAATTACATTTTTAAGACTACATTTTAAGACTACTAGTAACTGTGACCTTTGGTTTTGTAGGGGGTTAGAAACTTGTATATTTCTATATAAATAATTATAAATTATAAGGTATATTCAATTGACTACATCACATAATTTTGGAAGAAAGATTACTCATAGATAGATTCTAAAATAATATATTCAGTAAGAAGTTAGTGAGTTATATTTGGTGAGAATTTCAGTTGCCCCAGATTTCCTGCTTTCAAGCAAATGAAATGTCTAATTAATTTATGATTGAAAACATCTAATACATCCTCAATACTTATTAGAAGTAAGCCCAGCATTTCTTGTACAATCATTAACACAGTTGGTTTGCAACCACTTTTTAAGTTGTTCTGTTGATGAGATTAACTTAGAGAAAAAACAAACAAAAGGAAAATGAAACTCAAAAACAATGCAAACATTCTCATGTTACAAGAGTTAACTAAATGTTTAGGCAGCTGATCACACCTGAGTCAGCAGTTATGCTCCAAACTTTTATCCATTAAGTCAAGGACAATATTACTAAAAGGTACAGATGACCTAGATTCTCACCCACAGAGTAACCATATGTCTTGGTTTATTCTGTTTGTCTCAGCATCCAGTCCCACTTGGTAATTGTCTTAGATTTCTCACTTTCTCTATGTAATGAATAATTGAGTTAACATAAGTATGATTGGTTTAGGAAACTTCCACTTTGCTTTTGCTATGGCTTCATCTAGTGGAGTGCTTGTAAGATGCATACAGGGTGAACAGTTTTTACTTTAACTGGTGTTAAATCTGAAGACAAGCCATATCCTATTCTTTGCTCTGCCTGAAAAAAAAATGGAACTACTCCTTTTATTGCTGAGGGATCACAGAAAACACATTACACTTAAATACAGTGGTAGGACACTCACATGTTCAAATCCTGGTGGAGGTTCATTTGTCATTTTCTTTTTTTAACATAAACTTATTTATTTTAATTGGAGGCTAATTACTTTACAATATTGTATTGGTTTTGCCATAGACTGACATAAGTAACCTAGCCAGTACTGCTATGGCTATTTCCACATCCTGCAAGATGCAATAATATACACCAAGCTACCAGTAGGTGGAGATAGTGGGAAATTTAGGATTACTGATTAGGCGTACATAAAATATGGGCATAAAACTGAGGGTGGTACTCAGCATATACTTGCTTCCCGGGTGGTACAATGGTAAAGCATCCCTCTGCCAATGGAGGAGACCAAGAGACTCGGGTTAGACCCCTGGGATGGGAAGATCCCCTGGAGCAGGAAATGACAGCCCGTTCCAATATTCTTGCCTGAAAACTATCCTATGGACAGAGGAGCCTGGCGGGCTACCATCCATGAGGCCACGAAGAGTCAGAAATTACTGTGTGCACAAGCACATAGCATATAAAAATTAATCTAAATGCTCTTGCTGCAGTGGCTTGGCCACATATTGTACTGCTTAAATCTACAACTATTTATTTTATTGTTTGGGAGAATTTTTATTTTTTTAGACTTTGCAAAAAAAATATCTTATTAGGAGCAATGAACTAAAGCTAAAAGTTCATATTTTAATTTAAACGTGTGAATGCTTAGTTTCTATTCTTAAAGCAAGTTGATGGTGAAACATGACTTATACAGCAATTTCTTGACATTTACTCTCCACCATGGGGTCAGAAGTATCACTTACCAGATGAAAAGTCAAAGAGACAATTTTGCTGGAGAAGCATCAGTATCTATTTAAAAAGACAGAAGTTTTAAAAAGATTACTTCCAAAAATGATTATTTATCACTAGCAGTTGTGAAAACTCTGTTCATATATCACTCTGATGCATACATTTCACTTAGGTCAAATAATTACTCTAAATAATATTCACCATGTTAAATCCTAAGTTTTCTTGTACAGGTAAAACATACACATGCGCGCATGCATGTGTGCGTTCACACACACACACCCAAACAACAAAAGCACAGATGAAGCAGTAGTTGATGATGTGCTCTTCCATTAACGAAAGAAAAGCTTCACTAAGGATGAATAAAGCCAGTATTATGTCACTATTGTTAAATGCTTCAAGTCAAAAATGAATTAGTTCCAATAGTGATTTGATCTCTTCCTCCAGTCCAAAGAGTCCATGTAAAGCTAAAGAAAGTTCATAATACTCTGGCAGCTCTAATGAAAAATTATTTAAAAAATTCAAATCAAAGATAAAATGACTGTTTGTCTCAGTAACAATAAAAACAAAAATTTTGCTGAAGGACCATATCATGGTAAAAATAATCAAGTAAGATCCCCATGAAGAAAAAATACAGTTGCAATTGCTATAGATATATAACCATAATTGGATCCAAACATGCTGTAATATTCTGCTAGTCAAAGTAGAAGCTGTAGTTTTAAAGCATTTTTTTGTGCATACCCAGAGTAGGTGCTTTTGGCATGCTTTCCCTTACCTCATCTATCACCTCTTCCACCTCTGTTGTATTTTTATTTTCCTGGTGCCTTTTCTGTTGTTGATTTTTACATCATCAGTATGTTATTTTATATAACAAAGCACACACAGCGGGGATACGTTCTTCCATGCTTGATGTGAAGTCTTTATTCCACATTCTATGTTACTTTGACGTCCAGTTACACTACTTCTCCCTCTCAAGGACTTCCCCGTGATTCTATCCTGACTGACTCCTTGCTCCTTCAGTCTGACTCACCAAACTGGGAATGCAGTTTACAGATTAGCGAGACGTCATGGTTTGGCAATTTTACTTTTTTCTTTTTTTAATTTTCAGAGAAAAGCTTCTGGGAGTGATGGTGTTTATGTTGGGAGAATTCAGAGGGAAGAGAAGAAATCTGTCAAGTTATATAGAAATCACCTTTATCTCTTATTTTAAAAAAATATTAGCAGTAAGCTCATCTTCAATTTTGGGGTTGCTGGTATTAAAATTATGTATATGTGACTGTGAAAGAGAGGTTTTGTGTGTGTGTGTTTGATTTGTTTTTTTGCTATTCTTATTCATAGTGGTAGTTATTGAGGAAGGGAACATTTTAATGTGACATCAATAATGATAAGTAAAGTGAATAATATAGGGTTTGTCATTGCACTCAGAATTTTTAGCAATATCTTCCTGAAGGATAATCATGTATTTCTCTTGGTCTATTATTAAGTATTATGGTTAATGCAAATCTTTTTAAGAGAAATTAGCTCATTTTTCCTTAACGTTCTGCTCCTAAACTCTACATTTATTTTTGTTTCTCTCTTTGTTATGAATACTACTCACGAGGCTAATGAAACTAGATCCAAAGGAGCTGAAGTCTATTCAGATAAAGCAAGCTCTGTAGTAGGAGGTATACTCAAGGCTCTTGGTTAAAAAAAGTAGGTAAAAAAAAAAGCTCAGGAAAGAACAAGAATAGGTTAATTCAAGAGATGGGATTCTACTAGATCTTTGATGAACAAACAGGCAAATTTATAAATCTTTTTGACTTTTCTTTCTCTTGCGTCTGGAAAGGTCTATAGCACATAATGCTTGTCTTTCTCACGAGGATGTTTGAGCATTAAATGCACATTGTGTATTGGGTACCCCTTGTACCCTCCGTTATATATGTGTTCTTCCAACTGTGATCCCAGACACAGCTACAGTGCCTGAAACAATTTCATGCAAGTTTCAACCCTCTTGCACTGATAGCATCACCCCTTCTGCATAAACAACATTTCTTTCACTCTCGACCTGGGCTCCCAGAGGTCACAGCCGGGAATACAAAAGGAACACACTGTGAATCCTCTCACATATTTAATGAGGTTCTGGAAAATTAATACACAGCCTGGCAAAATTCCAGCAATGGGAAGCACAAGTTGATGGATAAATGATTCTCCCTGTTTGTTGATCAGATCCAGGGGTGGACAATTCCAAAATTATACCATATGTTTCTAAAAAGACCTTGAAAGACTGAGTCCTCATTGACCATCATAAAGTTAGCAACAACAACAACAAAAAATATGTTCCTTTGTAGGATTTTTTTCTCTTTGATTCTTTCACCTTCCATAGTCTTCCATACTATTTGCCTGATGCATGCTGTGCACGCATGCGTGCTAAGTTGCTTCAGCTGTTTGACTGTGCAATCTACTGGACA